TATTTACTTCTATTATAAGTTGACGGAGTTTTATTGAGTAATTGTTGATTCAGACAAATTTATTTCTGTCTTTTAATTTTTATTGAATAAACTAAATTTATCTCAGATTTAACATGTTTTTATAAAAATTGTAGATTCAGACAAATTTCTCTATTTTTGAATGTTTTTATTGGAAAATATGATTTAATCTTTTTAATTGCAAATTTGCAGATTCAGACATAATTCTTTCAGACTTTTCATATTTTTATTGAAAAATGCAAAAAGATCTCTCTGTATTTATATAAAATTTACCATTTTTGTTAAGAAATGGTACATTCAGCAAATTTCTGTCTGACTTTTAATGTTTCCATTGAAAAATGTTAAAATTTCTCAAATTACATAAGATTTATCTTTTCATTGAAAAATGTTAAATCTAACATGTTTATATATATATATTTTTAATATTTACAATTTTTTTGTTGAGAATTCGGACATTTTTATTGAAAAATGACAAAATCTGTCATTTTTATATGAGATTTACACTTTTTTCATTGAGAAATTTCAATTTTTTCATTGAAAAATATTGAAATATGTACATTTATATATGATTTATTCTTTTATATTGAGAAATAATAATTCAGATTTCATTTTACGTTTTCAATGAAAATGTTAAATTTTGACATTTATATAAGATTAATGACTTTTTATTGAAAAATTCTAGATTCAAGTAAATTTCATTTGGTCTTTTAATTTTTTTATTGAAAAATGATAAAATCTGACATATTTATATAATATTTAGCATTTTTTTATTGAGAAATTGTAGATTCAGAAAAATATGTCTATATCTTTAAATGTTTTTATTGTAAAATTTTAAAATGTCATATTTCTATAAGATTTCCCTTATTTTATTGAGAAATTGTAGAATCAGAATATTTTCTATTATTTTTCATATTTCATTGAAAAATATTAAATATATGATTTAACATCCTTTATTGACAAATTATAGATTCAGGCAAATTTCTCTCATTCTTTTAATGTTTTTATTGTAAAACGTTAAAATCTGTAATATGTATATAAGATTTACAATTTTTTTATTGACATGGTAGATTCAGACAAATTTCTCTCTGCCTTTTAATGTTTTATTGAAAATGAAAGATCTGTCATATTTATATAAGATTTTCACTTTTTGGGGAGAAATTGTAGATTCAGACATCTCTCTCTCTCTTAAATGTTAAAATCTGTCATATTAAAATGTTAAAATACTTATATGAGATTTACATATTTTTTATTGAGAATTAGTAGATTCAGAAAAATTTCTCTCTCGCTTTTAATGTTTTTATTGAAAAAAGTAAAATATCTGTCATATTTCTTTAATATTTACTCTTTTTCTTTGCAAAATTGTAGATTCAGTCAAATTTCTCTGTCTTTTAATATTTTTATGGAAAAATTAAAAAATCTGTCATATTTTAAGATTTACATATAAGATTTACACATTTTATTGAGAAATTATATATACAGACAAATTTTGTCTCTCACTTTTAATGATTTCATTGAAAAATGTTAAAATCTGTCATATTTATATAAGACTTAACCTTTTTTATTGAGAAATTTTAGATTCAGGCAAACTTCTATCTGTCTTTTAATATTTTTATTGAAAAATGTAAAATATCTTTCATATTATGTACCATTTTTTTATTGATATTGTAGAGTCAGACAAATATCTGTATTTTAATGTTTTTATTGAAAAGTATTCAAATCTATCATATTTATATGTTTTACACTTTTTTTACAAATTATAGATTCAAACTAATTTTTCACATTCTTTTGATTTTTTATAGTTAAAATCTGTAATATTTATATAAGATTCGCCATTTTTTTAATTAGAAATTGTAGATTGAGATAAATTTCTCTGTCATTACAACATTAAAATCGATCATATTTATGTAAGATTTACTGTTTTTGTATGGTAAAATTGTAGATTTAGACAAATTTGTCAGTCTTTTAATATTTTTATAAAATTGTCTTATTTATATAACATTTACCCTTTTTTTGAAAAATTGTAGATTCAAACTTTGTTTTTTTTTTTTATTGAAAAACGTTGAACAAGAGTCACCTCAATCAATCAAGACTCACCCTTGTTTCTTGTTTAGGAACTTCCTCTCGTTCTCTCTGGCCTCTGCACTAGTACTGCCATGATTCTCCTGTGATGTGTACAGTCTGTGGCAATGCTTCTTCATTCTGACGGTACAAATGACAAAATCTGCTATAATTCCATTTGATTATAACAGATTTTGTTATTTCTCAATTCAAGATCTGAAATTAAGATTTACATTTTTTATTTTTTATATAAATATGACACATTTTAACCTTTTCAATAAAAATATTAAAAGACAGAGAGAAATTTGTCTGATTCTACAATATTTCAATAAAAAATAGGTAAATCTTATATAAATATAACATGTTTTAACATATTACAAAAAAAACATTAAAAAACACTAAGAAATTTGTCAGATTTACTAATTTTTATTTTGAGGATTTGTAGATTCACACAAATTTCTCTCTGTCTTTCAAAGTTTTCAGGGAAAAATGTTAAAATTTGGCATATTTATATAAGATTTACCATTTTTTACAAGAAATTGTAGATTCAGAGAAATTTCTCTGTCTTTTCATGTTATTTTAAAAGTTAAAATGTGTCATATTTATATAAGATTTGCCTTTCTTTGTTGAGCAATTGTAGATTCAGACAAATTTATTTCTGTCTTTTAATGTCTTTATTGAAAAATGTCAAAATTCATATTTATATAAAATTTACCCTTGCAAACAAATTTCTCCGTGTTTTTATATTTTCATTGATAAATTTTGAAATCTGGTATATTTATATGATGTTTACACCTTTTTATTGAGAAATTGTAGATTCAGACAAATTTCTCACTGTATTTTAATGTTGTTATTGAAAAATGTTAAAATATATCTTACAATTTTTTATGAGAAATTGTTGATTCCCACAAACTTCTCTTTGTCTTTGAAACTTTTTATTGATAAAGTAAAATCTGTCATACTATATAAGATTTATCCTGTTTTATAGAGAAATTGTAGGTTCAGACAAATTTCCGTCTTTCACAGTTTTAATGGAAAAATATTAAAATCTGACATATTTATATAAGATTTTGTTTTTGAGAAATTGTAGAGTCAGACAACAAGATAATTTTAATTGATTTCAACATTTTCAATTGAAAAATAGCAAAATCTGCTATAAATCTACTTTATTTGAATATTTTCAATTGAAAAATAGCAAAAATTGCCATAACGCCATTTGATTTCATAAAAATCATTTGAAAAATGAGTAAATCTCCTATAATACTACTAGATTTCAACATTTTCAGTTGAAAAATAACAGTTTGCTATAATTCTATGATGAAATCCAATAGAATTATAGCAGATTTCATTATTTCTCTATTGAAAATTGAAAATAGAAAAATAAAAAATCTGCTATAATTCTAATTTATTTCAAAATTTTCAATTGAAAAATAAAAAAATATGCTATAATTCCATTTGATTTCAACATTTTCATTTAAAAAGTAACAAAATCTGCTAACATTCCACACGATTCTCACATTCTGAATAGAAAAATTACAAAATCTGTTATAATTCTACATTATTTCAAAATTTTCGATTGATACGTAATAGCAGATCTTTATCTGCTATAATTATACTTGATTTCAACAAATAAGCAAATCTCCAATAATTAAATTAGATTTCAACATTCTCAATTCAAAAAAATAATAAAATTTGTTATAATTCTACTTGATTTCAATTAAAAAATAAAAAATTTGCTGTAATTCCATTTGATTTCAACATTTTCAATTGAAAAATATAAAAATCTACCATAATTCTATTTTCATAATTTTCAATATAAAATTAACAAATTCTATTTGATTTCAACATTTTCAGTTGAAAAATAACAATATCTGCTATCTTTCCATTTGATTTCAACATTTTCTATTGAAAATTACCTAAATACCTTTATTTCAACATTTACCATTGAAAAATGACAAAATATGCGATACATCATTTGATTGCAACATTTTCATTTGCAAAATAAAAAAATCTGCTATAATTCTACATGATTTCAACATTTTCAATTGAAAAATGACAAAATCTGTTATAATTCCATTTGATTATAACAGATTTTGTTATTTCTCAATTGAAAATCTGAAATTAAATGTAAACAGCACATTTTGTTATTTCTCACTTGAAATTTTGTAATACAGTAGAAATGTTGCAGGTCTTGTTATTTTTCAATTAAAATGTTGAAATCAAATGGAATTGTAGAAGCTTTTATTATTTCTCTATTGAAAATGTTGAAATCAAGTAGGGTTGTAGCAGATTTCATAATTTGTCTATTGAAAATATTGAAATCAAGTAGAATGATAGCAGATTTCATTATTATTCAACTGAAAATGTTGAAATCAAATTATAGCATAATCTAAAATGAAAAATAAAAAAAATCTGCTATAATTCTACTTTATTTCAACATTTTTAATTGAAATATAATAAAATATTCTGTAATCCCATTTGATTTCAACATTTTCAATAAAAAGTACCATATCTGCTAAAATTCTACATGATTTTCATATTTTGAATTGAAAAATGACAAAATCTGCTATAATTTTAGTTTATTTCAAAATTTTTGTTTGGTATGCAAAATGATCTATAATTATACTTGATTTTAACATTTTCAGTTGAAAATAAGAAAATCTATAATTCAATTAGATTTTGACATTCTCAATTAAAAAAAAATATTAAATTCTGTTATAATTCTACTTGATTTCAAGATTTTCCATTGAAAAATAACAAAATCTGCTATATTTTCATTAGATTTCTACATTTTCAATTTAAAAATAATAAAAACTGCTAAAATTGTAATTGATTTCAAATTTTGTACTGAAAAATAACAAATTATGCTATACTTCTATTTGATTCTATTTGATTGCAACATTTTCCATTGAAAAATGTTATAATCTGGACGGGGGATCACTCGCCTTGTCCGTCGATGAAGAGCGCAGCCAACTGTGAGAACTGATGTAAATTGCAGGACTCAGTGAACATCGGGGGTGGCGGCGCTGCTGGCAGCGATGTCGGTCGCGTCACGTCGCTTCTCGGGCGAAACCGCGGTGACGCAAGCGAACCCGGAGACGTCGCCGAGAGCCCGCACCTACGTCAAATGGACCCCCGAGGACCTTCGGTGTATGGCTGCGATAGAGCGCGAGGTGTTGTCCCTACGCGTGCATAACATAACATCAATACGGACATTGAATCCTGCATGGCACGCAGCAGTGATCAGATCAGCTGCAGGCGACTTAGGAAGGACTACAAAGACCTTCTGAAATCGCTTGAGAACTCCGCCCCTGTCCCGGCCCTGATGGTGCCCAGTCCTACGTGGTTCTCGGCAATTCTGCGTGCGACCGACCCCCTTAGGGGTGGGGCGCCGGCTTGACCAGCGGGCCCCGCGGGGAGGACTGGCCGCATCTGGTCTGGACTTGAGAATTAAAGCCCTTCCCTCTGCGCCACCTGTAAAATCGGACTCTGACTTGGCCCCTCTCCTTCCTGGCCGTTCAATCCTTGCCATTCGTTCCAAAAGGCGCCGCCTTCCTAAAGTCTCCCCTGTGGTCGGGGGTATGGTTCCTGCGTCCCAGGAGGTCTCTGGTGAGGAGGAGGATACAACGGAGGCTCAGCTCCCCAATGACGTCTTGTTGAGTACATCAACGGCCATTGATTTCCGATTCGGCGTTACAGAACAAGGCCGAGCGGGCCCTGGACAATCTCGACGGATTTTCATCGCTGTATTATGAAGTGTTCCCCCAAAACAGGACCGTGAATAAGCATGCGATACCACCGGTAAAGGCGGGAATTCGTAGGCGTCCTGCTCAACGTTCGATTGTCTACAACTTCTTGCAAAGGCTCCATGCGCATAGTCCGAAATAGGTCGCCGAGAGGGTCCTTGACAGCGATCTCTCTTATGAGGGACTCGTTGCTGATCGATCCTTCTTCGATGAGGATTTTCTGCGTAAGTGGAAACCGGTTTTCGAACGTGAATGTTTCGCGAACCTGGCCGGAGATGATTCCGGCGCGCCGTTGATTGCCCTCATATTCGTGTCTGATGTCACCTCTGTACTTGCATCAATGAAAGAGTCGTCCCCCGGACCTGATGGCCTCCGCCTCCACATCTTATGGGATATTCCCGTAGAGGTTATCACCCTGCTTTGTAATCTGCAGTTGCTGAAAGGTCCGCCTCCTTCCAGAGGTAAACCCGTTAACATCTACACCTCTCGGGTGACCTTCATCAAGAAGATGGAGGTGCCCGATGATCCACTGGAATTTCGACCTATTGCCGTTGAAAATTACTTTGTGCGTGTGTTCCACCGAGTGTTGAAGCATCCCCGCCGAATCATCAAGACCAAGTCGAGTTTCAGCGTTTTGACGGGATTGCTCACAATGACCTTAAGCTTCATGCGGCCATCGCCGAAGCCCGTTCTAAGAACTAAAATTTAGTGGTCGCATCCGTAGACATTCGTAAGGCGTTCGACTCAATCATGCACAGGGTTCTCCTTGGCATATTTCGGTAGAAGAGGGTCCCCGACCTCCTTCTGAATTACTTTCATTAATACTTCAGCACCAGCAGATTGCAGATCGGGAGGGATCTGAACCACCCCTGAGGGGTTAAAGAGAGAGACCCCTTATCCTTCTAGGTATTTAACTTAGCCATGGACCATATTCTAGAGGGGCAGGAGGAGTATGCCTTTTCCATCTTATGCCGACGATTTGGTACTGTTCGCCAGCTCCCCTGAAGAGTTGCAAAGACGGATTGACGTCTTCTGGTCGGCTTTGGTAGACTCGGACTTGAACTCGAACTTAATTAATAGTGTTATGTATTCGTGGGAACTTCCCTTTTCCTTCACTGTCGGGGGTGGGGTGGGGGTCTTCGGTCGGCCGGTGCTTTGCTCGTCCCGGTTTTTTCAGGTTTCGTCGCGACCGTCGAACCTGAAATACCTGAAATACCGCCACTTCCGTCGTTTCCTCGCTCACCCGGTGAAAAAGGTGACAGGTGGGGCCCTAACCCTAACTCTAACCCTGTTTGCTTGCGCACTTTCAAGCGGACAGCCTGCCTCGCAAGCCACATGTGGAAAATGCATCCTGCTCAGTGGAATGAGATAAAGAGAAAGCGCGAGGCCTCACGTCGCTCGAACGCCCGCACCTACGCACGGTGGTGCCGTGGAGAATTAGAGCGTATGGCTGAAAATGAAAATTTTCTAATGAAAAATAAAATCTGCTATCATTCCATATGATTTCAATATTGTAAATTGAAAAATAACAAAATCTGCCATAATTCAATTTAATTTCAACATTTTAAATTGAAAAATTATCTGCTATAATTCCATTTGATTTCAAAGTTTCAATTGAAAAATAAATAAATCTGCTAAAATTCGATTTTCTTTGAAAATTTTTAGTCTAAAAATAAAAGTTTTCAATTGAAAAACAACATCAGCTATAATTCTGATAGATTTCAACATTTTCAATTAAATAACAAAATACCCTATAATTCTACATGATTTCAAGATTTTCAATTGAAAATCAAATTATCTGCTGATCTAGAAATTAATTGAAATGACAGAATATTTTGTTATTTTTCAATTGAAAATTTTGAAATAAAGTAAAATTAAAGCAGATTTTGATATTTTTGAATTGAAAATATTGAAATCAAATGGAATTATAGAACATTTTTCTTATTTTTCAATTGAAAATGTTCATATCAAATACAATTATAGCAGATTTAAATATTTTTCAATTGACAATGTTGAAATGAAGTAGAATTATGGCAGATTTTGTTATTTTTCAATCGAAATGAAATGGAATTATAGCATATTTTAAATTGAAAAATAACAAAATATGCTATACTTCTACTTGATTTTAAAATTTTCAATTGAAAAATTAGAAAATCTGCTATAATTCCATTTGATTCCAACATTATCAATTTACAAATGACGAAATCTGCTATAAGTCTACATGATTTCTAAATTTTTAATCGACAATGACAAAATATGATGTAATTGCATTTGATTTCAATATTTTCAATCAAAAAGTACTTAAATCTGCTGTAATTCTACTTGATTTTCATATTTTCAAAAACAAAAGAATCTGCTATTTCTTCATTTTCAATTGAAAGGAATAAGATCTCTTATAAGTCTACTTGATTTCAACATCTTCCATTAGATTTCAACATATTCAATTTAAAAATAACAAATCTGCTATTATTCAATTTTATATCAACATTTTTTTCAAAACTAATTAGATCGGTTATAATTCTACATGATTTACACATTGTCAATTGAAAAATAAAAGAATCTACTATAATCCCATTTGATTTCAACATTTTAAATTGAAAAATAAAATCTGCCGTAATACTTGATTTCAACATTTTCAATTTAAAGTAAAGAAAATCTGCTACAATTCAAATTTATTACAACATGTTCAATTGAAAATTGACAAAACCTGCTATAATTCTAATTGATTTCAATATTATCAATTGAAAATAAGAAAATCAGTTATAATTACATTTGCTCTCAATATCTGCAATTGAACAATAACACAATCAGCTATAATTCTATTTTATTTCAACATTTTCAATTGTAAAATAAAATTTGCTATAATTCTTCTTTCTTTCAAAATTTCCAATTGAAAAATAACTGGCTGATATAATTCCATTTCATTTGAAATTTTTTCAATTGAAAAATAACAAAATCTTCTATAATTCAATTTGATTTCAGCATTTTAAATTGAAAAATACAAATTCTGCTATAATTCTACTTTATTTCAAAATTTTGTGATTGATAATTAACAAAATCTGCTATGATTGTACTAGATTTCAACATTTTCAATTGAATAATGATAAAAATCGGCTATAATTCCATTTGATTTCAAAATTTTCAATTGCAAAAATAACAAAATCTGCTATTATCCTACTTGATTTCAATATTTTCAAATGACAAATTCTGCTATAATTCCATTTGATTTCAAAATTTCATATTGAAAAATAACAAAATCTGATAAATTTCTATTTGATTTCAACATTTTCAATTGAAAAATAACAAAATCTGATATAATTCGACTTTTAACATTTTCAATTGAAAAATTAGAAAATTTGCTATAATTTCCTTTCATTTCAGCAATTAGATTGAAACATAACAAAATCTGACATAATTCTACTTTATTTCAAGATTTTCAGTTGATAAATACAATCTGCTATAATTCCATTTGATTTCAACATTTTAAATTGAAAAATAACAAAATCTGCTATAATTCTATTTGATTTCAATATTTTCAATTTAAATATAATAAAATTTTCTATTATTGTTCCAAATGAAAAATACAAAATCTGCTATAATTCCATTTGATTTCAAGATTTTCCATTGAAAAATAATCTGAAAATCAAAATTCCGAAATTGAAATAATTAAATTTCAACATTCCATTTTATTTCAACATTTTCCATTGAAAAATTGCATAATCTGCTATATTTTATGAGATTCAACATTTTAGTTTGAAAATAACACAATGTATTTCCATATGATGTCAAGATTTTCCATTAAAAATCCTCATAATTACATTTGTTTCAACATTATAACATATAGATATTTCTGTCTATATTTCTGAATGAGGTTTATGTACAGCCTCATCTTTGTCCTAACGTTTCGGCCGTTGTACGCTCCGGCCTTCTTCAGGTGGTTGGAATTTCAAACTGAACCCTTTATTTCGATCACTGGGGTAGACTGTTCTAGTTCCACGTGCCATGTTTGACGGATGTCAGTTATCTCCTGCTAATTTTCCCTCTGAAAGTTATCCACTGCCTTAACCGGGTATTGAACTCACCTTCTTTGGGTCTGTCACTGGATCTAACCAACGCCTTTATCCACTGTGCCATGTGTCCTTGGGTATGAACTTCTGGGTATTATAAACCTAATGTTTTCAGCAACTATTTTTTACCAGTGCTCATATTGCAATTTTTGCTGTAATTTACGCACTATAATTTTGGCCGAATGGGAAAAGAGTGGTGAATCTAGTCTTCGCTAACTATCCTATTCTTAGTTAATCACGATCATGTCGCATTCATCCAATAAAATTGCTCCATTTCCAACGAGAACTCATTCATCACCATTCAATACTACATATACCACAATACCACATACTCACCAAGAGAACCTGCAAAAACACCCCATAATATAAATATTTTAAATTCCTAAATACAAAATATATAAAAATTGCATGAAGCATGAAATGAGGTGGGAGGGAATGAACCCCGAAAGCAAAAAAAAAAAAAACAGATTTTAGTAAAACCCATCAACCACTCAAAATAAAAAGAATGGCTTCTGTACTCTGTCGACAGACAGAATCAAGTAGCACACTCACTAAAAAATAAATGACGGAATTGGAAAAATAAAGTCTGATCCAGCTGAGATGAAAACGGGGACCAAAATAAACTGGGGAGGTTGGGAATCTTGACATGGATCATAACAAAAGAGTGCCTGGAACAGGCCAGGAGTAATACTTATTATATTAACTAGGCAAATCAAGAGTGTCTGGCTTATCCAGGGGAAGGGATCACAGGAAACTGACCCGTTTTGATCAAGTGGACTTAAAAAAGAAACTCAATGTTAGCCTCTTTCACACAAACCAAACTCTCTACTTTTACCCACATTTCGCTGAAATCTGTCGATATCAAACGCTTTCTATCAGTTCTGATCTTCACTTTCAGCTGATGTTGGAAGAATCTGACCAGAGCCTGATGAGAATAGCGTTCATATCGCAAGATTCCCTCCATCAGCGACCTCCAAATCACCAGCGTCAGAAACACCGCCCGTTTCTTCCCAGAAAATGGGGGTGACACATTATCTCATACGTATGCGAGATCAATGACCACGAGGACATCGGGAGCGATACCAGCCATCAACTCATCGACATAGTCCCAGAAAGGGCGCATCTGAGGACATGGTAGAAGGCGTGTGAAACCGTTTCTTCTAAGACAAGGTCACACCGATGACAGTCAGGCAAATTCGCTCAGCCCCATCTGAATCAAGGTAAGCAAAAACTCAGGTTTACTGAGGTAACTCGCCGTTGGCGCCCAAGGCAAGAAGGAGCGCAACCCGGCCAACGACAAGCCGAGCCGCTCACAGAGAGTATCCTTCGCGACCAACTCCACTAATTCACGCTACAAGACCTTTCGAGGCTGTGAAAGGTCACTGGACCGAGGGAAGGCCCTCAAGGCCGGTAGACACTCGCTACGATGGCGCATAGACCAGGAAATGGGAGAAGTGATAGTAAGGCTAGAGAAGGCGTCCCTAACACCAAAATCGAATCCTCAGTCAAAACGCAGCGTAGGAAAGCCAACTTTGAAGCGTGTCGATGACTCACCAAGTGTGGCATTCCCAGCCCCCATGACACGGACGCTGGACACAGCACTCTTTGCGGACCTTCGGCTTGCGCCCCCCCAAGAGGGTGAACAACAAGCGCTCGATCGACTTCCGATGATCCTTTCAAAGAGGAAGTACAGACAAGCGATAAAGAATAAGTGGAAAGATGTAAGTAGCACACACCTCAGCTCTACACTTCTTCGAAGCCAAGTTGCGACCAACGCTCCAACCTTTGTCTGTACTTCTGACCAATTTTTCTCCAGCTTGAGGTCGGGCCCAAACCACACTCTGGGAATGCGGACAAGACCGTCCGTCCAACTGAAGGGCCCCGGAAGAAAGACCCCCCTTCCAAGAACCTAACGGCAAGCCGGAAGACTTGTTGCGATTCAAGCGCCTTCTGTACCAATTCAATGTCGCTGCGACACGACACGAAAATGGATACATCATCAGCGTACGCGGAAACAATGGCTCGAGCTCCACCAGGAACAGCAATTCCACGTAGGGTCGAACTGCTCGCCCCGTCCCTCAGCCGGCGAAGGAGAGGCTCCAACGCCAAAGCATAAAGTAGGGGCGACAGTGGACAACCCTGACGAACCGACCGAGTTCACCTGTACCACAGCACTGGGGGAGCGATACAGGAGGCTAATCCACTTACAGAAATCGGGTTCGAATCCGGCGGCCTGCAGGACAGCAGCCATTCAGGTAGATCGACCCAATCAAATGCTTTGGACTGATCCAAAATAATCAGTGCG